TGATGGAATAATTTGCACACGTTGATCAGTTGTAACTATTTCATTCATCTGTTGTTCTTGACTTGTCAATACATATTTTCAGAGAAGTTCCAGATGACTCCAGAGAATTTCTCCTGGAGGAACCCACTGAAAAAACTCTTGGTTGAGACTACATAATTCTCTTCTGGAAATGTTGAGTGTGGTGAGGTCTATATCGGTTATGCTGAATTCCTTCATTACCCAAGCCATCCAATGCAGGACTTTGTGGATCACTGTATGGGATCATAGGATATCCCAAGGCATTCTTGTTCTTTTCTATAGCCTTCCAGTGCAGCAGCCCATCTTGTTTACTTGTTCTGAAGTTTCATCTGAAATGTTTGTGATGTGTTCTGTGCCATCAAGAGTTATCACTTGAGCTTCTTTAACAAGATGTGCTTCTGATTCAGCATGGTGAGCATCTGGATCAATAACACCTTCAACAGTGCCCACAGGTTTAACAGTTTCAAGGATGTTTAACTTTGGTTCAATTCCTTGTTAAAAAAATTACCTGTACACTAAGCTGTACAGTTCTATCTGTCTTCATTCCTTGGTCAAATAAACTTTGTTCTGGATCCAGCTAGGTGTCTTGCAGGCAAATGTCATGAGCATCCAGAGAACACTGTAGTCTTGGTTCTAGCAGTTTCTTTAAATTGCCTATTGGTTCATTGATGTCTGTGGCCTGGCTTACACATTCAGCTGGTGTGTAGGTTTGTTCTACAGTGCTTTCTTCTGTGCACTCTTGTTTCTCTGTTCCATTAATCTCAATTTCTGTCAGCTCCTCTGCTTTTCTTTTAGTCATGGCTGAAGTATTTCAAAGGATCTCTCCCTCCACTTCCTCCTCCTGTTTGGCTCCTGTCTCACCTAGAGCCATCCGATTGCAGACTGTCTCTGAGACGCTTCCTGCCTGGTAAGCGTCAGATGACCATAAACTAGATTATTTTTATGATTTTCCATACAGAGAGTTGTATACTAGCATTTTTTTCCTTTTTATCATTAAGTAAAGCGCATTTTCATCTCATATATTTTGACCTAAAGTCAGATTTTTTCTGAAATAGATATCTGAAGCTGCCCTCAAGATTTTCTGTCTTTGGTTTTCAGCACTTTGACTATAATGTGTCTAGGTGTTTTGTTTTAGCATTATTTGGCAAATCTATGGGCTTCTTAGATCTGTGATCTGTTGTGTTTCATTGATGTTGGAAAATTTTTGGTCTTTATCACCTCAGGTATTTCTCCTGCCTTTTTTTTTCCTCCTCTTTTGCCAATTACACATAGACTGTTTGATACTGTTCTGCAACTCGTAAGTTTTTGTTCTTTTTTTGACTTTTTTCTTGGCATGTCCAGTTTGGGTAATTTCTGTCTTCATGTTCACTGATTGTTCTGTGTCCAGTGTGCTAAGTGTGTCCGAGGAATTCTTTATCTCTGATAAAGAATTTTTTTATTTCTAGCCGTATTTTTTATTTCTAGCATTTGACCCTTTCATGATTTCCACCTCTCTCCTCAGATTGTGAATCTTTTTCTGCTTGTTGTGCACCTTTTAAACTAGATTCTTTAACATATTCATCATAGTTATTTTTAAGTTTTCTGTCAGGTAATTCCAGCTGCATCATCTTTGAGTATACTTCTGTTGGTTGCTTTAGCTCTTGATGATGAATTTCATTTTTCTCTTGCTTTTCTGTACGGTTCATAATTTTTTATTGAATGCCATACATTGTGTGTAAAGGAACAGAGGAGACTGAAGTAAATGGTATTTACACACAGAAATGAGGACATCTCTTTTTTCCGTCAGGTTTTTGTTATGAGGCATTGCATCAATTTAGTCAGAAGTGGAGCTGGGTTTGGTTTTTGTTGTTGCCTATACCACAGTCTTCACATACTTCCAGCAATTGACTGCTATTACTTTATGCCTCTTAGAGTGGTGCCTGAGGTGCAAAATATTTATTTTACTTGAGTCCTTTTATTTTGAACCCTTCTGTGCTATGATGAATCCCCATTTTATTCAGAGTCCTTAATACAATCAGCAAGGCTCTACATGATCTGGTAGAGGGCCAGATAGTAAATCATTTAGGATTTTGTAGGTCACATAATCTCTGTCACAGCTATTTAATTCTGCTGTTTTAAAATGAAAACAGCCATAGACAGCAAGTAAACAAATGAGCAAGACTGTATTCCAGTAAAACTTGATTCACGAAACAGGCAGTGGGCAAGATTTGGCCCATTGGCATAGACCTATCCAGGGATAGATCACAAAAACATATAACAGTATTTGTAGTTTAATATGGCTTCCCAAATAGTTCATTCATGCTGCAAGACTGGTTGCTTATTTTGTTTTTTTAAAAATCTTGGAAAATTTTTTCACAAAATATAATCTGAATATACAAAAATATAAGTGGAAGTTGGGATAATTTAATGCTAACATTGATGTGGTATGAAATCAACCAGTCTGCCTGTTTAATTTGTTGCATACATCAAAATGGATTCAACCCAGTCCACATTCCCTTCTAGAGTATCTATAACATTTTCATATTAGAATGCTTCATTCATAGACCAAAACATGACACTGAAGTAAGAGACTTGTCCTTTCCAAGGGTTAGATGTGAATTAGATACTAAGTCGGTTAATTGAAAAGACTAGAACTGTTAGAGAAGTTGTAGCCTAAAAATGCTTTCTTCATTCATAAAGTGAATTTCTCCAAATCCTAAAAAAAATTTAAAAAGTGGCATTTGTTTAAATAACTAAAACAATTTTTAAGTTAAAATTTTTGAAATTTGTCTAGGCACACACAGTGGCTCACGCCTGTAATCCCAGCACTTTGGGAGGCCAAAGCAGGCAGGTCAGGAGTTTGAGACTAGCCTAACCAAGATGGTGAAATCTTGTCTCTACTAATAATACGAAATTAGGGGATTTCCAGCTCTCTGGAATCACCTCGCACAGGGTAGGAGCTCCCTCCAGGATTTCCCCTCTGGAATCCCCTTCCACACTCTTCCTGGAAGTCTTTCTCTTCTTTTCCTTTCCCTATCTTTTCTCTACCTAAATAAAATCACCTTTCTGCAACAACAACAACAACAAAATACAAAATTAGCCGGGTGTGGTGGTGGTTGCCTGTAATCCCAGCTACTTGGGAGGCTGGGGCAGGAGAATCACTTGAATCCAGGAGGCGGAGGTTGTAGTAAGCTGAGATCATGCCACTGCACTCCAGCCTGGGCAACAAGAGTGATAATCCATCCCCAAAAAAAAAAATGAAATTTTAAATGCTTAAATTTACAATATTTTGTTTTAATGTGGCTTTGGGATTTTTGACAAATCCCTGTTTATTTTGTTTTTTCAAGCCTGCTTAAAGGTTAATTAATTAAAATGGGTGAGTCCTCATGTTTACTAATATGTATTGCAGCTCTGTTGGTACACCAGAAGGCCAGAATGGAACGACTTCAAAGAGAACTTGAGATTCAAAAGAAAAAGTTGGATAAGTTAAAATCTGAGGTCAATGAAATGGAAAATAATCTAACTCGAAGGCGCCTGAAAAGATCAAATTCTATATCCCAGATACCTTCTGTAAGTCTTTATATAACTGTTGTGATCTCTGTGCTTGAACATGACAGTAGGCCATCTAACATAAGTGTAGTATCTCGATCTAGTTTTCTTCAGATGTTCTTAACTCTTATTTGTTTTTCTGTCCTTACTTTCCCCTGCCAAACTCCATTCTTTATTAACTAATGACATAAGAATTCAGTGCAAATCTTACTTACATAGAATTATTTTTCAGCTCGAAGAAATGCAGCAGTTGAGAAGTTGTAATAGACAACTCCAGATTGACATTGACTGCTTAACCAAAGAAATTGATCTTTTTCAAGCCCGAGGTAAAGTTCAGTGCATACGTAGCTGAAATTCATTTTATTAATTCACCAGCAGTTTTCTTGTGGCTAAAAACAGACTTATCAGTCATAATCTTACTGTCTTAGAACATGTGGCTTTGGAGCCAGACTTTTAAGAATATATTTTAAAAGTTACCCCCATCTCAATGGCACTGTGTTAATTGATAAAGCAGAGACAATAATAAAAATAAGGTTTAGACATTCTTTGGACAATGATAGTTTTTTATACTTGATCTATTAATGACAGGCAATGATTTCTTATAGTAAATAATGTTTACAATTTAATTCAGTTCCGTAGAGAACTAAAGGAATTTTGTCACTTAAACCTAATTCTGAAGTTGGATAAATAATAAAAAGATATAAAATGGAAAAGACAGGAATGGGAAGGAATCTAACCATAAGAGAAGTCTTTAATCACACTTTGGACTGTGTTTCAGAATCTACTAAACTGGAAGATGATTATTTTTATCTTTTTTTTTTTTTAATGTTGGTTAAGCTGTTTATCTTTAAACATTCATAGAAAAATACCATATTTTAACTCTGGAGAGAAAAGGTCAGTGCTGTTCTAGAAACTACAATCCTGGAACTTATTCTTTTTGTGTAAAATTTTAACCATTCTATTACGTTAGTGCAAGATTTTTATATTTGCTTGAGGTAAAGGTGTTTAGTTGCTTAAATCCATGTTTGAACATTTAAAGTTGCATTTTAAATTGTGAAATTTTAAGTTATTTTAACTTGCCACATAGAACAAGAGTCTACTTCTGCCTCTGTTAATGTCTTGCCAGCCTTAATTTGACTTCTTTTACAATTTGCCACTTAACTGTGTTTATGAGTACTACATTATACCTACGATAATATATTTGAAACATGTTTTGAAATCTTACACGTAATTTGAGATTAGAGGGGCAAAGTAAATGAAAAGCATTTCTTATAGCGTGATTTTTTTTAGAAAGAAATGTTTGTTTTAAAAAGTAAAGTTGTTTTTGAGCTATAAGCATTGATACATTTACTTTTTATATATTTCAGGACCACATTTTAATCCCAGCGCTATTCATAACTTTTATGACAATATTGGATTTGTAGGTCCTGTGCCACCAAAACCCAAAGGTTAGTGTATCTATTAAGTGTGAAAACTGTTAGATTTTGAAAAGCAAATTTTTAGAAAATTTTTCCTGTTCAGAACCTCCCTCTCTAGAATTGCTTCAAACTTTGGCATTCTTAAATGAATTTACTAAGAAGATGTTTGTTTATTTTCATTTGCATGCTTGGGGTTGGGGAGAATGCAAAAATGTAATATATTTAGCTTTTTAAGAGTAATATGCACGAGCTTAGGAATCACTATATACTCCCAACCAATAATAGCAAGTCTTGGTTAAAAAGAAAATCAGTACAAAAATTTGTATTATTTAAAACTAGACAAATTGATAAGGAAGATACCTTAGGGAGGTGTTTTTCCCTCCATGAATATTCTGCTTAATTTATATATAACTTTAAGTAATCAAAATACCCTGAATTCCAGATGAATGGTTTTCTGCCTACTGTCGTTTTACATTATTGATATTCTGAGTATATTCACAACAAACTAAGACATGTCAAAATATATCTGTGTGTTTTGATCCAGGTATCAAAATGTATGTAGAAATGGAAATAGGTACATAAGTATCACTGCTGAAGGTAAAGATATAGACATATATGCAGATTAACACTAATTGTGGTATATAATTTACTTTCAACTCTAATAAGAAGGTTAAAAGGTAAAAATTTGTTAATGCATACATAATATTATAAGAAGCAAACTGCAAGAACCCAAAAGTGTGGAAAGGTGGAGGTTATAAAGATATGGTAGTATTTTTGTATGCAACTGAAGTTAAGTTGTTATCAACTTAGAAAAGTATAACCAAATGTCAAAGTAAATCATGATTAAAAATCAAATAACAAACGAAGATAATAGGAGAAAAAGGGGAGCAAAACAGTTGTCAAATAGACAGGAAGCAACAAACTAGCAATAGTAAGTCCTTACTTATCAGTAATTACCTTAACTGTAAATAGATTAAACTCACCACTCAAAAGGAGTTATATGCATGGATTTTAAAAACAGGATCTGACAGCAGCCAATGGGAGGTCCCAGTGGCTCATGCTCATGCACACAGTGGGAGGGGAGGGAGCACAGGACGTGCACACACCCTCTCCCTCATCCACCACTGCCACCTCCTGCTGCTACTTGTGTGCTCGTTAGGTGTGGACCTACCACCTCTTGTGAAGTGGCAGCTGAGGAGATTCTGGTGCTCGCCATGGCTGTTGAAAAGCCCATGGAAGGAGTCAAGACTGAGAACAAGATCATATTAATTTGAAGGTGGTGGAACAGGATGATTCTTGTGGTGCAGTTTATGATTAAGAGGCATACCCCACTTAGTAAACTAATGAAAGCTTATTGTGAACAACAGGGATTGTCAGTGAGGCAGATGAGATTCTAATTTGACAGGCAACCAATCAGTGGAACAGACACACCTGGACAGTTGGAAATAGAAGATGAAGATACAATCGATGTGTTTTAACAGCAGACAGGAAGTGTCTACTGAAAAGGGAACCTGCTTCTTTACTCCAGAACACTGCTTTAAAGACCAGGATTATTACTTTCTCAATTAGAAAACTGCAGTTTGGTTCCACGACATCCTGACTACTACAGTATAGTTTACTCTTTCATTTCCCACCTCCGCATTCCTTTATTATACATTAAGTAACTGGTATATATGCACAAGCATATTGATTTTTTTCTTCAAACTAAACAGCCAGTGGTATGTTTTGATTGACATCAAGTAGAAACAGGATGGGGAAAAATACTGATTCTGTGAAAATACCCCCTTTCTCCATTCGTGGCATGCTCATTCAGCTCTTACCTTTATATTCCAGTACGTTATTTTGCTCTCACTATTACCAAAAAAAAAATTGTCTCTTACCTTTTTCAATTGGAGAATTTTAATGTTTTTCATTTACCATTGTGAAATCAAGGAAAATTCTGTAACTTTTTTATACTTAGCTGCCACATGTAGGGCAATCTGTCTTTAAGTAGGGATAAATTACTTTTAAAAAAAGAAAGAATCCTAGATAGTTTTCCCTTCAAGTCAAGCTGCTTGTTTAAATAAACTTCTGGTTTAAAATGAAAGAAGAAATAAAAATAGAAATAGGATCCAATAATATACTATCTATAAGAGACTCATTTTATATCTAAAGACACGCATAGCAGAAAGTGAAGGGGTAAAAAATGATTTTATATAAATGGTAGCTTAAAGAAATAAAAAGTGGCTATATCAGACACAATAGATTTTTAAGTCTAAAACTGTTGAGACAAAGATTATTATATAATGGTAAAAGGATCAATTCAGCAGGAAAATATAAAATTATAAATACACAGCCCACAACAGACTGCATTAATATGTAAAACAAATATTGACAGATCTGAAGACAGAAATTAACGGCAATGGGAGACTTCAGTACCCACCTTACAATAGTAGAATATCCAGACAGAAAATCAGTAAAGAAACAACCAATTTGAACATAATGTTAAACCAAGTGGATATAGCAAACACAGAACTTTCTGCCAACAGCAAAAAAATATACATTCTTCTCAGGCACACACAGAACATTCTGTAGGATAGATCATATGTTAGTTCACAAAACAAGTCTAAACAAACCTAAGAAGATTAGAAATCATACCAGCTATTTTTTCTAACCACAGTGGAATGAAACCAGAAATCAGTAACAGCAAGAAAACCGGAAAATTTGTGGAAACTTACACTCATGAACAATCAGTGAGTCAAGAAGGAAATCAAAAGGGAATCTTAACAGTATCTTCAGACAAAAATGAAAACACAGCATACCAGAATCTATTGGAACACAGCTGAAAGCAGTACTAAAAGATAAGTTTATGAAATAAATGAAAGGTACGTTAAAAAAGAAGAGAGATCTCAAACAATTATACCTTAAGAAACTAGTAGAACAACAAGCTAAGCCTGATGTTAGCATAATGAAGGAAATAATAAGGATTAGAGCAAAAATAAATCAAAGAGAATTAAAAAAAAAAAAACACAAAAAAAGTAAAACTAAGATTTTTATTTTCTTTAAATCAACAAGATTGACAAACCCTTAGCTAGATAAATTGAGAGAAAAAGAAGACAAAAGCAGAACTGAAAATGGAAACATTAAAACAGATGCCTTAGAAATATAAGGATCATAAGGGAATATTAGGAACAGTTTTATGCCAACAGACTAGATAACCTAGAAAAAATTGATACATTCCTAGAAACATACCACCTGTCAAAGCTGAATCAAGAAGAATTAGAAAGCCTGAATAGGCCAATAATAAACAAGCAGATTGAATCAGTAGTCAAAAATCTCCCAACAAATATCCAGCATGGATTTAGAAATTTTTTTAAAAACTCCCAACAAAGAAAAGCCCACAACCAGATCATGAGTGAATTCTGTCAAACATTTCAATCAAAAATTAATACCAACCCTTCTTAAGCTCTTCCAAAAATTAGAAGAGGGAACACTTCCAAACTCATTCTGAGGCAAGCCTCACCCTGGTACCAAAACCAGACAAAGATACTACAAGTGAAGAGAACTACCGGCCAATATTCCTGATGAACATAGATGCAAAAATCCTTAGTAAAATACTGGGAAACCAAACTCAGTGCATTAAAAGGACCATACACCATGACTAAGTGGGGTTTATCCCTGGGACTTAAGGATGATTCAACATACACGAATCAATTAATGTGATACAGCAAACACTGAAGTAAAATGAAAGTAATAACCATGTAGTCATGTTAATAGATGTATAAAAAGCATTTGAAAAAGTTCAGTTTTAATTAAAACTCTCAACAAAATATGTATAGAAGGAACTTAACACAATAAAAGCCATGTATAAAAACCCAATAGGTAATATAATCAATGGAGAAAACTGAAAGCTTTCCCTCTAAGATTTGGCACCAGCAAGGGTGCCATTTTTGCCACTTATTTTCAACACAGTAGTAGAAGTCCTATTGTGGTATCCATTTTTCTGTTGCTATAAAGGAATACCCGAAGCTGGGTAATTTATAAAGGAAGAAAGTTTAATTGGCTCACAGTTCTGCAGATTGTGCAGGAAGCATGGCACCGACATCTGCTCAGCTTCTGAAGAGGCCTCAGGGAACTTTTACTCATGGCAGAAGGTCAAACCAGCAAGCAAACAGAGGCATATCACATAGTGAACAAGAAGGTGGGAGGTGCCTCACCTTTCAAACAACTAGATATTGCATGAACTCAGAGCAATATCTCAGTCATTATTGTGAAACCTCCACAAAACTATGGATGCAGGATCCACCCCCACGACCTAGACACCTCCCACCAAACCCTACTTCTAACATTAGGGATTTACATTTCAATATGTGATTTGGAGAGGACAAACATCCAAACTATGTTACCTAGCCAGAGCAATTAGACAAGAAAAATGTATCCCTATCAGAAAGGAGGAAATAAAATTATCTCTGTTTGCAAGTGACATGATCATATATGTTGAAAACCCCAAAGACTCAACCAAAACAACTGTTAAAACTAATAAATTTAATTTAGTAAAATTGCAAGACACAAAAACAATGTACAAAAGTCCATTGTATCTCTACACACAAGCAACTATCAAAAAAGTAGATCAAGAAAACAATCCCATTCACAATAGCAAGAGGAAGAATACTTAGGAATACACTGAAAATTATAAAACATTGATGAAGGAAATTAAAGAAGACATAGATAAATAGAAACACAGCCTGTGTTCATGGATTAGAAGAAGTAATGTTATTAAAATATCCTTACTACCAAGAGTACTCTACACATTCAATGTAATCTCTATCAAAATACCAATGGCATTCTTTACAGAAACAGAAAAAAAAAAAAATCCTAAAATTATGTGGAACCAGAAAAGACCCTGAATAGCCAAAGCAATCTTGGGTAAGAACAACAGAGCTGGAGACATTACATTTTCTGATTTTTTTTTTAAATATTACAGTTATAGTGATCAAAACAATGTGGTGCTGACATAAAAATAGACATATTAACCGATGGAACAGAATAGAGAGCTGAGAAATAAATCCATGCACCTATGGTCAGCTTATCTTTGACAAAGGTGCCAAAGTTATAGTGATGAAAACAGTATGGTGCTGACATAATGTTACAAAGTTATAGTGATCAAAACAGTGTGGTGCCAACATAAAAATAGACATATTAACCAATGGAACAGAATCAAGAGCCAAGAAATAAGTCCATGCATCTGTGATCAACTTATCTTTGACAAGGGTGCCAAGAACATACAATGGGAAAAGGATAGTCTCTTCAGTAAATAGATGTCCACATGCAGATGAATGAAATTAAAACATTACCTCACACTGTGTACAAAAATAAACTCGAAATGGATTAAAAATGTAAGCATAAGACCTGAAACCATAAAACTCCTAGAAGAAAACTTAGATAAAAAGCTTCTCGACCTGGTCTGGGCATTGATATTTTGGATATGACACCAAAAGCACAGGCAGCAAAAGCAAAAATAGGCAAGTGAGGTTACGTCAAACTAAAACGCATCTGCACAGCAAAGGAAATAATCAGCAGTGAAAAGGCAGCCTACAGAAAGCGAGAAAATATTCGCAAACTGTGTAACCTCTAAAGGGTTTATATTCAAAATGTATAAGGAACTCATGCAAATCAATAGCAGTAGAAACCAATAACCAGATTTTAAAATGGGCAAAGGACCTGAATAGACATTTTTGAGAAGGTATACAGATAGCCAACAGGTATATTGAAAGATGCTCAACCTCACTAATCATCAGGGAAATGCAAATTAAAACCCAGTGAGATACCACCTTACAAACCTATGAGAATGGTTATTATGAGAAAGGTGAAAGATTACAAGCATTGATGAAGACATAGAGAAAAGAGGATCCTTATACACTTTCATGGGAATGTAAGTTGATGCAGCTATTATGAAAAGAGGTTCAAAAAATTTAAAATGTTATGGTCTAGTGATCCCACTTCTGAGCATATATCCAAAAGAAATGTGAAATAAGTATCTCAAAAAGTTACCTGCACTCATGTTGCTTTCAGCATTATTCACAATAGCCAAAATATGAAAACAACCTAAATGCCTGTATATGGATAATGAAAACATGAGAGGCACACACGTACATACTCACACACATAACACACAGTGGAATATTATTCAGCCTTAAGAAAGAAGGAAATCCTGTCATTTGCGATAACATGGGTAAACCTGGAGGATGTCATGCTAAATGACATAAGCCAGACAAAGAAGGACAAATACTGTACGATCTCACCTACAGATAGAATTCAAAAATGTCAAACTTATAGAAACAGAGAGCAGAACAGTGGTTCTGGGAGAAGAGGGTATGGAAGATTGTGGTCAGAAGGGTACAGAGTTTCAGCTATATAAGATAACTAAACTCTGGAGATCTAGTGTACAACAGTGTGACTGTAGTTAACAGTAGTTTATTATATAACTGAAATTTGCTAAAGGAGATCTTAAGTGTTCTCACCACAGTGGGGTGGGGGGAAGATAAGCTATATGAGGTGCTGAATATGTTACTTAACTTGATTGTAATAAGTATTTCACAGTGTATACATATGTCAAATCAAGTTGTACAGCTTTAATTTTTAACTGTCAACTATATATCAATAAAGTTGTGGGGGGAACAAAGCAAAGACAGCAAAATAACAGTTTTCATTCATACAAATTCTGATAAGTCAACACACGTGGTGAATCAGGTCAGCACTCCTGGGGTTATATCATCCTCACTACTAGTGTGCTGCAACAAATGCTCAAAACTTAAAATTTGTTCCACATGTTTGTGTTTTCAAATGTCTTCAGAGATAAAAATTATTTGTGTTACTTCTTCCTTCATAAGAAACATTAAGGTTTTTAGAAATATGAAAGTATGAATTATGGATAGGAAAATGTACATTTTTCCTGTGAAGCTGAGGACACCCTAAAAAAATGTATGGTTACTGTTACTGAGAAATTCAGTGCCTAACACAGGGGAGGAAAAAGAGAGGTTAAGAAAAAATTAAAACATTTTATGAATCAGGCAGTTGTTCACATGCTTACATACTGGTAGGAATACCATGTTAAATTGGGTTTTAGGCTAGCAGCTGGCAAACAGCGACCCATGGGCCAAATTCAGCTTTCCATCTGTTTTTATCAATAAAGTTTTATTGAAAAAAAAAAAGAAATGAGAACAAGAAAGAACTCGTATGTTACTGGTTCTTCAGTTGGTTACAAGAATTTTTACATTCTCATTTAGTATTGTGTTCTTTCTGCTCCTTCATTTTTATATATAATTAGGTATCTCTCTGTCCTCATATTTTATTTAAATGTTTTTAAACATAGTTGGAATACAATGAACAGTTATTACAGAGGATCATAGTGAGAGTAGGGCATTTGGCCCAATAAGCAAATGTTCAGAGACTAGATGCTATTTGGATGGTAATTGAATAAAGGAATAGAGATGACAGCAGTATAAGCACTGACTCTTTAAAATATGCAAGATGAGCATTTCAGACACTGAATGAGTTTCCTTAATATAATCTTCCTACTCTTTTTGAAAAATAAGAATTTTTTCTTATGAGAAGATTTCCGTTTTGCTTCAACGTAATCTGTTACTTCAAATTAATAATAACCTGTTATTTTACATAAGTGAGATAAAATTGGTCTTGACAGTTATTGAAGCAGGATGAGTACATGAAGGTTCATTTTGCTATCCTACTTTTATATATGTTTGAAATTTTCCATAATAAAAAAATAAGAAAGGTCCAAGAAAAAAATCCTTTACTTAAAAGTTTTTACATCAAAGATAGAAGTTTGTATGCTGGCTGTTTTGGGAGAAATAAGGAATCAATAATTTTTTGCAGTAAGGCTAAAATACACATTACCTTCATGAATAGAGATGTATTTAGTCCTTGAAATCAGTTCTGCTTCACAATGTAGAGTTTTCTAACAGCTAAAATTAAATATATTTAGATCATTCTTTATGATCTAATTTCTTCTTCTTTTTTCTAATTTTGGTTATTTAGTTACAAATACCTCTAATAAGAAAAAAATTTATAATTCTAAGTACCAAGTGAGATTATAAGAAAACCACTGGAGATTTTTCATTTTAAAAAATTTATAGATCCCTTATTGATTGCCTTAGGTATTATTTAAATAATGAAAAATATGCTGACATTTAATAGTATGTTGAAGTGTGAAAAGGTACTTCCTTATGGTCACTCTCCCTAAAATTTTAACTTTGCAGTTAAGCAGAAATAGTCAACAAAGTTTTACTAAACTTGCCAGGTGAAAATGTTTTCTAATGCCTAAGACCAAAATTCTAGTAAGTAGGATGGATCCCCAGATTAAAACAATTATTCTATATAATATTTCCCAGATATAGAATGTGAAATGATTTTACATGATAAAAAGTCAAACTTTTTCTAACTGTATTTCTTTTCATGTGTTTCAGAGCATAGTAACTAGTATTGTCAGACCCTTGATTTTTTTAGTATTCTTACTTAGGATAAGACTTATTCAGCGTGTTTGTTTTTAAATTATTTAATTTGGGGGAAATACTATATAAATACTATTCAAGTTATGCATGTGGCAAAAGTTGTGACAATAGAAAGCCAACACCTAAAGTTGAGGACTTAGTAATAACGTTTGTATATGATGAATAAGTAAGGTACTGCCAAAAGGGTACAGAGTTCCAGATATCACTTAATTTTTTAAAATTTGTCATAAAATTTGACTACTGTATTTTCATCTACTTGTTATAATAGTCTGTCTTTTAAAATAGCAGAAAAGGTATTAGTAGGGTAGGTGGAATTTGCATATTAATATACACTGTTTTAACATAGCTTTGATTCTTCAAGTTAATAACCTTGACAGGAAAAATTCAGCAGCTCATGCACCTTTTACTTTAAACCTCCCACAATTAATTTGTAGGAATGCTGTTCTAATTTCACTATGGGATCTAAATTTTTAAAAGTAGTTTCATAAGTGTAATTGCTTATTAGAGACAACCTTTGAGGAATATAATTATTCTCTGTATTTAAGATACCACTATCCATTTAAACATTTTAGAACTTTGGTCTTTTAGAGTTACAGTGACCTTTATGTTATAAGTAAGAAACGTGAGACCTAGAATGTATATTATTTATCTGAGATCACAGAGCAGAGTAATCAGGAATTAGTAGCAGAGCCTGGAACAAAACTTCATTCTCACAACTCTGAATTCTAATGTTCTTTCTACCCTACCATACTAAATGTGATTTTTAAATATAATTATGGTAAAATTTGTACAGATTTACTTCTCCAGAGTCTGTTGGTAAGATGTTAGAAATTAGTTTATATTTTATTTGTGTCATCCAAGGCTTCCAATTTTGGGCAGGTAAAGAACATGAACTAACAGAAAAACTTCCCTTTCTGGTAGAACAAATATAAATACTACTCTACTCCAGTGGGAAATGAAACTCTAACTTCAGTGAGACTTACAGTACTGTTTTGCAGTGGGACACCTTTTTACAATCTTGAGTGCTATTACGGGAATCTTTGCTATTAGATACCATTTATTCTACTGTAAATTGGAGAAAATGATGCTGTTTTCTCCTTTAAGGAGATACAGAGGTGATTATATCATATTCATGTTGTATTTCCCAGAGGAAGAAGTGCCAACTAGATAGGGGTTGGTAGTGATCAAGCATGTGTGTCTGTTCCCACTAGACGCTTCATTTGGGGAGCAAACTGTTTAAGGCTGTGCAGTACAACTGGTGTTTAAAGTTGCCTGTAATTTTTTAGACTTTGTGATTTTTTTTTACTTAAAAAATAATTTTTTTTCTTTCTTAAAGATCAAAGGTCCATCATCAAAACACCAAAGACTCAAGACACAGAAGATGATGAGGGAGCTCAGTGGAATTGTACTGCCTGTACTTTTTTGAACCATCCAGCCTTAATCCGCTGTGAACAGTGTGAGATGCCAAGGCATTTCTGAGCCAAATGGCCCTGTATCTTCCTAAAACCACATCTAAAGTTCCAGAAGCTAGTCTGCCATTGGGAAAAAGTTTCACTGCTACATAGGATTTTGTCAAATTGAAGGTGTGACAAGATGGTGTTGTGCTAATGTTAAATGTCAGCCCGCAGAGCTAATAATACCTCAGTATAATGTCATGAGCAGTTGAAATTCATCACATGAAAAGTAATCTGCTGAAAGACTTGGTTGCCCACTGCCTAACTGTGTACAGTGTTACCAGTATCCCATTATGGATAATTCTCATATGTTAACGCCTAGGTGTTCCCAATACCTTTTTCCCCTCATGTCACTACTGAATTTTGACAGGAGGAAGGAATAGAATGATAGCTTCTTTTATTTGTAAAGCTTTCAGTGAAACACTACATACACGAAGAAAAGGAACAAGGTTTAACTATTTAAGAACTGTTTGCTGCCACATAGTGCCATTGGATAGGGGAAGAACTTCAGAAATCTGTGGTACACTTGGCCTTGTCTTTGTCTTCCCTGAACATGTCTCCACTCTGTGAAGCCAGCATCTAGGGGCTAAAGATGCAAAGGAAAGCAGCATGCATTGTCTGTACAAATGTGCAGTGAAATACCCCAAAGCTTTTCCTACTGTACAGATCTCTCGAGTCTGCTTTAAGTGATTTCTTTTCTTCTTGATTATTTTCTTATATTTCTATATGTATAGTGTAATAGCCTTTTGTTAACTAATTTTCTTTTTTCCTTTTAGTAATTAAGCACGATCATGTCCCTTTTTAAGCCTTACCTGAGAGGATCAATGCCTTAAAATAAAAAAGCATTAATGAGATGAAACTATGCACAGAATAACTTTCCTCTACTTATTCTGTACTTTGCCCTCATGAGTTCCAATGTTGTGTGAAGACAGACAGATGCTGCACAGTGAATTGCAGATGATATTGTAGAAGTGATGTCTGTAGGGCACATTAAATACTGACTTGAGCAGTGAGTGACACAACACAGTGTTTTTTCTTCCACAGGGAAGCTTAAAACAAAAGATATTTTTAACCCACTGTCAGAACAACAAGGTTAAGCTTGCTTCATCTGTGTGGTGTCCCACAGAGCTTTCACAAGTGAGTGTTATTGGGAAAGTACAGTTTCAAAACCAGCAACAGCAGCAGTACCTACAGCCCTTTTTTTGGAGAGAACTTTAAATGCTTTACTGTTGGGGCAGTCCATTTCTAAGCCTGACTTGGTGACAGTATCATGTATATTTATAAAACAAGGCTAGTCATATTTAGGACAACTGAAGAAAAGCTGGAAAAAAAGAAAAGCAAACTTGAACACTGAAGCAACCTCAAGCATCTCTTTATTTTGATGATATATTTTTGTAAAGACAATAAATATTCAGATGATCAGGAATGTATATAAATGAAATCAAGAAAAAGAAATAACAGTATGCATTTAAAAAGACAGAATTAAGAAATTATATGAGTGCTTAGAATGGGGCTAAGGGAAGTGCTGTTATAGAGCAAAAGATGGAAGATAATATAGACTATCACCCACTGTAAATGTTTGCCAGTGGCTGTGTTTTAAATAGGATTATTACAGTTGATCTCTATGAATGTCAGAGCCTTAACTTTCAGGCTTTGCATTTTGTATATGGGAAGAAATATGACAATCCTAGATAATTAAACCATAGACCCAAAGCCCTTATATTTGATGCATTTTGTTTTAAAAATAGGCCTTCTTTTTCAGCTTCATCTGCAGTTCTATGTGAAGATTGATAAATCAGTTTTTACTTGTTTTATTAATAAAACGTAATTTGGATATCTTGAGTTGATGGTTTTGTGATTTAGCTGGGTAAACTATCTTTGTAACAGATAAGTTATTTATAAAAATTAAAAAACTTATATTCTAATATGGATTTTGTGACTTGTTTTCAGTTTGTGGGACAGGAGATAATTTTATACATCAGCGGATCATTTAAGCATTAATGAAAATCAGAGAAAACTTATTCTCTAGAGTCTCCTTGTGACATTATGACATCCAGCTGCATTTCTTAGACTATTTTTATCAATTTCCCTAGACTTCTTTTTTCATAGCGTTTGCTGATCTCCCCATGATGCAGTTGTAGAAAGGTCTGCCTCTAGTGGTCTTTTAAACCTAGTAGGAAGGAAATACTCTTTGCCAGTGAATATGAGGACTGGACATGTTGGTCATCTGGAAACCAGCTTTGGGAACTTTTAAGAATTACAGGTTTAAGAACCTCCAATGGCTAGCTGGGCATGGTGGCGCGTGCCTGTAATCCCAGCTACTGAGGAGGCTGAGGCAGGAGAATTGCCTGAACCCAGGAGACGGAGGTTGCGGTGAGCCAAGATCCCGCCATTGCACTCCAGCCTGGGTAACGAGCGAAACTCCGTCTCAAAAAAAAAAAAAAAAGAA